ACTAGATATATAGCGTCTCCTATATGGCTGCGTAGTTTCCTATTAGGATGGTTTGGATGCCAAGTAAACATCACACGTCCAGTAAATCCTTCCATGGGTTGGATATACCAGCAATTCCGACCGCTGATCTGTAGTCAAACATTATTTTTCGACATAAAAAGATTGGAAAAATGTCTCGACCAACCTGCCGAATTTCCTCACTTGGCCATACAACCAATGGCTCCCCAGTGGATTTCAGCGGCTCATTCAGATAGCGGAAAACCTAGAAGAAACAAGAAGCTGCAACTTCCCATACCGCAAAAAATTGCAAACCTGTTCCGGATCCGTGATTCGGACCCAAATTCCTACATCTCTAGCCTCTTCCACGTCTTCTTCCTCGACACTCTCCTTCTCTTCCGTCTTCCTCTCAGCGCTTATCCTTTTCGCAGTACCTTGCGGCACCGAATCCGTCGACGAGTATTTGCTGATGGCTGGAGGGGTATCACCGCTTCCACCTACTCTTCTGGCTAGCATTACTCGAGCACTTCCATCTGGAGTCATGTGTACGATGGAATTCTCCACCTAAACAGTCGGAAACAGCAATAAAACGGGAAAAAGAATAGATTATTGAATTTCCTTACATGGGCCGAAGTAGTGCTTCCTCTCTCATCAACTTCAGCACTGCCTGTTTGCTTCTGCTGTGACTGAACTGCAGTCAAGGTTTGTAGAGCTATAGGAGGTACATTCGCACCACAGCCTCCTTGCAATCTCAATGAGGAACTTCCGGATGGTCCAAAGTGAGCACGTAACGCTGTCCATGCTCTCCTGATGGCTGAGCCAATGCCCTAAAAAATTTGCATAAAAGTTCCGGTAGGAAGGCAGAGTCCCCTACCTCAATGGTAATCGGTGGTCCGATAATTCGTTCCATTTGTGAGTGAGTTTCAGCAAACGACGTGGTTAGAGGAGAAACATAGATAGGATATCCAACCGGCTGATCAGCCGAACTGTTGATCATGTTCCTATAAAAGCACACAAAATATTAGAAAAGTCGAAAAGTAAAACGCTTCCAATAACTCACCTCAACACTTGTCTAGCATTCTGGATACTTCCTCTTTCGGGATTTCTGTTCCTCAAAAAGATCAGCTCCTGCTGCTGTCCAGCCCAAAAAGCTCTCACGCATTCTCGATTCAACTTGATCACCCTGATAATATCCAAATCAACCAAAAAGCCATTTTTTATCGTACTAACCTCATGTTCAGATGCATCCTATTCAGCATGATAATCTTGTAATCATCCTGTCCTTCGTCATAAACATGCCTCAAGGCTAACAAAGATGGAGTGTTTGCAATTATTGCACGGCGCCAGGCAGGATCATGTTCATGTGAGATGAACAGTTTGGTCTGGTGGTCGGCGATGAGATCATATAAGGATTCTGGGTCATCAAAATCATCAGGTGCCACGAAATGATCCTAAACGTAGATAGCTGAGTGACACATTTATGTCAATGAATGAGTGATGCCAGGACCCAACCTAGATTTCAAACCGCAGATCTTGCACCTAAAACCATGCACTATGATGCGAGAATCGGGGTCCAAATTTGCGCGTGAACAAATGGTTGTGCGGAGAGATGCCGGCGTTTTGCGCGGGGGGCCAGCATTACAAGCGCTTTTTTTTTGTTCACGCGCAAATCTAGCTGCCCAGTTCCACCGCGGGATGCTTCATAAAATATGCGGAAAATCTATTAGAGTTTATTAGGAAGGTCCACAGATGTCCCTTCGGAGCCATCATTTCGATATTATCGACTTTTACGTGCTGGTACAAGCACTCCAATGTCATTTTCTTCATTCTCACACCATACTGCTTCGAAAACTTTGCAAAGAATGTAGCACGTTCGCATAACTTCGGTTTGCGACTGCGACGACTGACGTAATTCTAAAAACTATCTCACTTGATGCAGTTTCAATGCCATCTTTACTGCTGGTGAGATGACACATCGTAATAGATCCATGTCAGCGAACACCCATTCGTCACGCTGGCACGTGATTCTGTAACTTCGTCAAATTCCGCTAATGCAATAACTTCGTCTAATGCAACTGTACCTGAAGTCGCCCTTGAACAATGCATGCAATCCGCACAAGAACGACTCAGCGGCATTTGAATGACGATTGTACGATGCTGCGCCAAGAGCTCGTCGACCAAGAAGGGATAGTACGAAGCACAAGCTAGTGATGTAATCGGAATCTCTGAACAGAAAATCAACACTTGAGGGAGATTTCTAGTGAAGTAACGAGATAAGACAAAAATATGGACATTTTACGGCTAGACATATCTTTCTCGTAAAGCTCTAAAACCTACGGCCACGAGTTTTCTCAGCGAAATTGTGCAAGAATGAGATGTGCTTCACACTTTGTGTTTGGTGCGCTACATATGTATGTGCAAAGTTATTAAGTAAACCAGGCGAGCAATGCTGCAGAATTATGACAGAAAAAGCAGCAGCATTAGGATGCATTATTCCCAGAAAAGCCGTTAACAAAAGATAAAAAATAGCCCCGTTTTGAAGAAAAACAACGCTTTTTTGCTGGAGCTTCACATAGCAATAAAAATGTGGATCTCACACACAAAAAAAAA